GAAACAGAAAAAGGATAGTGGATAATAAAAATTTCCACAAACAAATCAATCCGAAGGGTGAAAATATCATGATATGAGAATCCTGATCTTGTTATAGGAGTTTATCTGTATTATAGATGATAGACTAAGCTCACGATTCCTGGAAACTTTATTTTACAAGCGTTTTTATTATTTATGGAATCTTTCTTGCGTGATATTTAGGGGAAGTTGTCATTTTTTTAACTTATCGAGAGTGTAAGAGACTTTGTTGTAACTGCCAGTCCCCATGAACACGCCGATAGAGTCTCCACGAAGGTGCATCGGGAAGTGCAACAGCTAATAGTCATTTGAGATAAAAAAAAAACCAGAGACAGTCATTTGCTTAAGTTGTTACAGATTGCTCTCATCTTTAAAAGTTCTCTTCAAGATCCCGTTATAATTACGAATGTGAAGCCGACGGACTGGACGCTTTTCTTTCAACAAAATTGCAGCTTCTGACTTCTCCGCAACAATGCCGTCTCACCATTTAAGTTTTATCTGGCATCGTGCTATTTTTCGGCGATTCCTTGGCTGAATTTCTGACATCCTTCTTACAAGAGTATAGTCCCATTCACATGCTGTAGAAAGATACCAATTAACACTTATCTCATACTATTCGTTGGGTTCCGAGACGTTGATAATTTGCAAAGTGTCGTAGATGCCATGAATCTACACTGAGATACGAAAAGGTACTTTTGACAAAAGTGCCTCTTTTCTAGACCCTTCGATCTCCATAGAGAGATTAAAAAAGACTACGCCCTCTGTTCAACTCGCACAAAAACATTGAAAGATAGTGAGCTGAACTTAGCAGTTACTGTATCAAACCTTACCTTTTGATTGACTCGTACTTCACAAATCATGATGCACCAATATAAACGCTTGTCACAAATGTAATTTCTTCTTTACTTAAAGAATGCGATCTAATCCCCTGATGAAAATTAATGCACAGCAAAGGAATATCTAATGCAACTGCTGTCAAAAGGATTGGGGAAAAGACTCTGTCTGCTAGAAAGACTGTTTCACAAAGTCGTAAATGTTCCTTCCTCAAAGTTACAATACTAAACCCATTTTGGCATTCTGCTAAAGTTTTCGTTTCTAAAATCGCAAACATTTTGACCAAAATCTCACATGAGGCATAAAACAACAGGAATGATAAAACCCACAAAAAGCTATTAAAGACTCAAGAAACATAAGCATTATGCGATGTGTAAGTAAACCGTTCCAGGGACAAAAACGGGCCTCTGCACTGCGTGAATATAGGTCTACAAATGCAAGGCAAATAGTATTGCAGACACAAAAGACAACTGTAAAAACCAGTGAAAAAACTAATCTAGAATTTTTGAATACTCTTAAGCTAGATGATTGCTTGAGAAAGTTATTAACAAAGTTCCCAAAACGTGATGATTTTCACGGCCTTTTGGAAAAAATGGAAAGAAATGTTGTCGTTACCACTGCCGACTACACTTAACAAATGATCAAGATCAACAAGAAGGAAAAATGTGGTCAGGTGTGCAAGACCTTCACAGAAAAGACTCGAGCCAGCCTGCACAGCCACAAATCACTGCCCCAGCACCACCACTGCATAATAAATACGAGAAAAGATGCCCCTGTGAAGTGCGAATTCGTCGAGGAAAAGGTCTCCGTAGCACTGTCCACCTATTTTCATGAACCTTAAAACTAGTTTGAAGATGGGAGACAACTCTTTGCGACACAGAGCACTACTGTTATTGCCGTTGTCCTCTTCACTACATTTTTCAATCTTATGCCGTTTTCCAAAGCGACGTTCGAAATTACTTCTGCGCCATCTCCGGAAAACACTTGCAATTGGAAATTGGTTTCTTACAAATGGGGCATTATCATTCAAAAGAGTGTCTTGATCGAGGTGATGGAAAGGAATGCCTATATGTCTTTTACAACACTCTGTGTACAGGTATAAGCAGATGGCGTGTAAATGCAACATCCGGAAATTTTAACTCTCATCGTAATACTTGCATTTGTTTTCAATGCCTCAAGTGACATTTAATAAGTTCTTGGCAGCATGTTTCGTCATTTGTTAATTTATAATTTCATAAATTCACTAAAATTGGTCCAATTACCTACAATCAATACCTTACATCCTATAGACCAAAGTGATGAAGTATAACACAATTGATAAAAGGCAAACCCAATAGATTCGAAAGCATATTTCCAATTAGATTTCGATAAATCGTCTTACCTGACCTCAACTGCATGCTTCGAGAAAACTTATTTATTTGTTCGCAGTTAAATATCCACAGTGGGAATATTTCAGTTTAATTGGTAAATACTTTTGATAAAATTTTCGTCTCTACGCTGGTAAGCTTGCTAATTATAACCCTTGCTGAAACAACAGGCATATGTCGTAGTTTTGGTTTAGTCAAGTTTTACAGCTCAAAATGACAGAAGGGGTATTGTTTGAGACGTTTTGAGTAGCAGCAATTAACAAAAACTGTCATGTCCGTTTCGCACTTTGCAATTAACTCAAAAAAGATTGTGTGTTGAGAATTTTGTTCCAGTGTATTGTTGATGAAAAATAATTGGAATTCGCTTGGTTTAATAAGACATCAGCATCAAACCCTCCATTTTTTACAAAATATTATTATTTTTATTTGTGTATGGACTTGAGCTTATGGCTTTCATCCAAAGATAGACTGTTGCATTCAATTCATGCATCAGAGAGAATAAATAATATATGAGGAGAAATGTCATAACGGTTACATTTCTTCTTATTTCTTCTCCATCAATATCATTTTATGATAACTATTAACAACAGTGACCACACCATTTTTGAATACCGAAGCGATCCTCGCAGTTATGAACACTACTGAACTAGTAGTTGAATTGAATTTTTTGAATTGGCCTGAATTAGACTGACTTTTTCAGGCCTTATTTCAACCACTGATGCAGTAGTGTTCATAACTGCGAGGATGGCTTCTATGTTCGTTTCTTCAACTGCAGTGCACAAATATGATTTTTATATATTTACAGTCATTACAAAATATTTTTGTCACATACGTTCGCTTCACTTGTTAGTCAAAGCTTATTGCGCTGTACCAATAATGAGTACTCTGTATTGAATTTTGAGCACGATTAGATATGCCAGTTATTATCTCGCTGTTTTTTGTATTTTTAGGCTGGAAATTTTAATACGCCGTCTTCAATTCCATCGCCATGTCAAGAACATTATGTAACCCGCGTTGAAAAACTTGTGGGACAATCTGCAAACATATTCGTAAAATTCAAGAGAGCTACTGCTGAAGCTAAATAGACATATCTACCTATTCTAATGCAAAGCAATCTTAATTAATGGTTTATGTAATGCTTTGCAAACCGACCAGCCTGTTTTAATTTCGTACATTTCAACCGAGAAAGTGTGCATCTGTTCATCGAGAGAATAAGCTCAACACGACTTCATTGTTTTGAGCTACTTTTGACTTTGGAAAAGGTGAGAGTATCCTGATGAAGAAGTTGGTATCAAAATAATATTTTCAGTTTTTGCTAAGAAAGTTCGTGATAAAATCAGAAACTATAACGTGAGTGTGTAAAATTTAAGGAGGCATAAACTTTTCTATCAGTTTTTGGTAAGTAAAATATAGAAATTCTACGATTATTCTCTTATAGAAATAAGTTTATTCTGACTGATGACTACTTTAAAACATTACAATTGCAGAACAGCTTGAATCGACATAGTGAGCTTCGGTACTCAATAAAATGAAATATAAGAAAGGTTGACTTGCAGAAGTAACCAAGATATGACTTTTTTTTTCCTGCGCATCACTTTTATTTGATTTTATCGGGTAAGGAAACTTTAGGAAAGGTGTTTTAAATAGCTTAAATTCCGTGCCTACATCATGTCTAGCTGTAGGATGTAATTTATCTGTTATGGAAATTCGAAATTAGCAAGTCAGAGGTTGACTAATGGCTTTGGTCGTTCGAGTATTTTCCGTCGGCTAAGGGATAATGAGTTATTTCTGACATTTAGAGGTACTTTCGCATCTCTCGTCAACATTCTAAATCTGTCTGTAGAAGGGTTACTTCCTTAAGTGCATTGCATGCAAAATACTAGTCGCATTATAGAGCTGTATTCTTTTGATGTCCAAATATTTTGTTCCATCAGACCGTTTAAAATTTTTTAGCAAATGACTCGTCATGAGATAGAGGCGAATAGGAAAATAAAAATTGTTAGACTTTGGCTGGATTTCATGTTCTTAATATGTCGCTTATCGACGTTCATGAATCGTCGATGATCCTTTTCCGCTGTAAGTAACAATAAAATTTTAACCGTGAAAGCATTTTGGAGCTGCAACGGAAAGTGGAGATCAACAAGTTATAATGAATGGAAAAAATTCTGACTGTGTTTTAGATCGCCACTAAAAGGTACTAACAAAAAGAAAGAGCTTCAGGAAACTTAAAATTACCATAAAATTAAAAGCTATCGAGAGTTTTTCGCCCGGGCCGGAGTTAAACGCTATTTTTGTCATGTCTCTTAATGTGAAGCGTAATGGAGAAATGGTCCGGCGTCTTTAATTCAAGAAGAAATTTTCTACAGCAGCAGAGAATTTGATTCGTCACTGCAACGCAGAGGTGTCTTTATTGCTATTAGGTGTCTTTATCGGCTATTGCCGAACAAACAAAGCTGACACGACTTGCATTTATATATCTAACGTCTGAATGATACTAAGTCACGAGATCCATCGTGTTTTAATTTCAGTGATATATTTAAATACAATCTGGGTCCTTTCCCTACCACGTGAGTTGCCTTAGGCTTTATTTGGATACCGAACCAAGTAGGTAGGATGTTTGAAGCAGACCTTGATAACCGAAGGTAAAATGTACAAACGTGTAACTTCTTATCCGAGAATACAATAATATATGTAACATATCGTGTCCTTAAATGCTTTCAGCGTTTGTATGTTTCATGTGGTTGGCACTCGCGCAAACATAAATGGACGGCAGCATCCATAACACATTTTGCCTTATTATTCTCTTTTAATCACTGGATAAAATTTCCACCTATCTCTTTGGCAGATTATCTAGAATTTTGCAAATACCCCCAGGGTCTTTTAAGCTTATTTTTGCAGGAGTTACCATATTATACCTGATAAAAGTATATGCTATAGAGTGGTACACAGATGTATATTGCACGTGGGTGGTTTACTATAAAGAACCTCGACATGGACCATGTAACAATAACGTGCCAATCTCTTTGATTTAGGTTTCAGTGGTATCAGATATGTCATTCATCTTCCGAATAAGGAAATTCACTGATGATAACTGCGCTTCTACAACAAATTTATTCAAATATGATTTCTAGCTGGCAAGAGAACTGAAAAATAAATCGGTCAGAGCTGAAGAAGGCCTAACTATATCCCACATAAATTATTTTCCTTTAATGTAGCGTTCATCTTCAATAGTCATTTCAATACTTATAAGAAACACAAAAGCCCTTTTTTCATCATAAATGCACTTCTACAATGAATTAGTTCCCTCAAGTGTGATTTTCAGCTGGCAAGATAATTGAAAAATAAATTATTTAGAACTGAAGTAGATTTGATCGTCTCCCACATCAATTTATTCTCTTTAATGTGGCGTTCATCTTAACAGTGACTTTAATACTAATGAGAAATACGAAAGCCCTTTTTTCAATTGAGGAATAAAATGTCAGTCTTCATCACAGCTGGCCAAACAACACTGTTTGAGTCAATTGATTTTCGTTTTATTCTACACGTCATGTATTCGAGTCTGAATGTCTAAAAAATCTTTAAAAAACTAAACTATATATTAAACTGGTATCCCCTACGTTGTAAACGCGTATAATTTTCCACCACTCATTCAGGTTTGTCGTTACGTACCTCTATAAGAGCCAAACTTTAATTAATTGTGCTATTCATGGTACAAAAACGAGTGTTCCCCCCTATGTTCTCCTTGTAATTCGTTAATTAGTAAAACTACCTCAAGTTACACCCACAATTTTAGTCCCACCCTTTTTGTACGATACAAATTTTTCATTTCTTTGCCCCCAAGTGAGTACACTGCATTCGCATTGGCAATGACAGGTGGGCGGATTGGCGCAAATAACAGACATAAAAGTTGGAAGTTAAACTTTCAGCCGAGTTCCCACTTTATTTCATGCAGGTTTCATTTTATGGAAAACGACTCCGACTTATGATGCAAGCTGATTGAGAATATTGGTCGTATTTGTCTGATCTTCATATATTTGTTTTCAGCGGACAATACCTAATCAGATAAGTACAAGTATGCGACATTGTTCAATCTAAATAAAATTTGGACAAGAACTTGGAGACTAGTATTTTGACGGTCGGTCAGACATATATATTGATAATTTTCCCTTTTTTGGAATTATATTGACATGTATATTGAGGTTATTCTCTTGCTTGATATTACCTTGACATATGCACATAGATCATTTGCTCTTCCTTGATATTATATTGACATATATATATATGTGTGTGTGTAGTATATAGATCATTTGCTCTTGTTTTATATAACATATATATCTTTGGTGGACGACTGAAAATGCTTATTTAAGATAGCATGATGATCATGTACCTCCTTTTTACCTCAACAGACTTAAAATAAAAAAGCACCTTGAAAGGAGGAACATGCACACAGAGAACTTTATTACCAAAGTTGTCCATTCTTCGTTGGTGCTGACAGCTTTGCTGGGCAATCTTTTGGTTTGCTTCACCATCTTGAAAAACAGGATTTTAAGGACACCGGTGAATTATCTTCTAATGAATCTCGCCATAAGTGATATGATGATCGTGATATCCTTCACTCCTAGGCATATACTTGGAGGACTATACCATCATCCTCGAGGTTTGCAAGGAACCATCTTATGTAAAACAATCACTTCTGATACATTCACCTGGGTTGGAGCGGTGTCTTCAGCGACAACTTTGGTAGTATTAGCGTACGAGCGATACGCTGCCATTACTTTCCCTCTTGGAACACGATCAAAGCTAAGCTGCAGAAAACTAAAGATTTTAGTTGGCCTCGGTTGGTTTCTTTCCGTTATCTTCAACATCCCACTTTTCTATGTCAGAAGTCTCAATCAACAGCGTGGAATTTGCGAAAGCCATTGGCCAAATGTGACATTTGCAAAGGGTTACAATATCGCCTGGTTAATTTTGATTGGAATAGCACCGTTCAGCTTAATGGCATTTTTCTACGGGAAAGTTATACTGCATTTGAGAGGAGAGATATTACCCAGACAACATGGATCATTGGCCGCGATGAAATCGAGACGGAAAGTCACCAAAATGCTTTTGACAATAGCAATAATCTACGGAATTTGCTTCATTCCAAATCTGATTCTATATGTTGTGTGGTACTATGTATTAGAAGCAGAAATAATGTACACGATAAATGAGGTTCTTCTTGTTTTAATATTAGTAAATTCGTGTGCAAATCCCTTTGTTTATGCCGCACAAAGTCAAATATTTCGAACAAGCATGAAAAGCATTGTATGCCCGTGCAAGAATTGGTCAAGAAATCGAGTGAATATTTCTTTGCCTTTAACGAGGACACTGGAGACCTTAGAGAACGTGCAGTTCTAGTTGCGCAAAGGTTTTACGCAACTAGATAACCATGCAAAGAAATTGGAATTTAAAATTTAGGAAGTTAATTTTGGAGAAATTTGAAGTTGAGACTCGTAGGTAATTTATTACTTCGATCGTGGTATACTACACTTGGTGGTTTGATACCAAACGCGTGAAATATATAATATAAAATTAAGGACTGGAGATGAAAAAACACAATGTAAATGCTCAGACATTAACTGTATTATACCCACTGTTTGTTCAATTCTTTATTAATTTTTTCATTTCATATACGCTGATTCTTTAATGTATACCTGCTAAAATATGTTGACTATGGATACGAACAGGTAAAATATATTAGTTATATTATTTGGACTCCAGCTAACTGTATTAGTGGTCACTAGATAGAGGGAAATCTTCCTGCGCAAAAGTCGATAAAAGAAGCGTAAAGTCCTTGAATATACACTAGAGAAACAAGGGCAACTAAGAAAGCCAACAGTTTCTCAACTGCATCACGTTTAAAGCTAGTTCCTTTCAAAACTTTTGAAATTTCTTAAGATTTTCGCCGGAAAATAGTATAAGTTTAGTCCATCATGAGATAGTGAGTTGGACCAGATAAATCAGATATAATTATTGTGCTTATACAAATATATATCCATAAATTGATCAGAATTAATGCCACTAAAATATGTCGACCTTCACAAGGTTATACTCCTTACGTAGTGAAAGAAGAAACAACTGACCTGGCTTCAAAGAGAGAGTAGCAAATATTTAATGATGATTAAATAGTATTTAATGATAATTTGAGATTTTGTTTTTCGCTATGATCACCTTATCAGTCAAAATTCAATCAGCACTGGTGCAAATTAATGCCATGCGTAGGCCTTATATCTTGCCAAAAACGGAGAGGATTACTTCTGTTGACTGCTAATCCTGATCCCAAGTTAACCTAGGAAAAAAATCAGAGGAATTTTTATACAGGAAACAAGGTATGTTTCCATGAGGCCAATCAGATTTGGAAGTTCAACATCTGGAAACTTCTCAGGCTACTCAATTGAATCTCATGTTGGTTTCTTCAATTCGTGTAATCATAATTCCCATTTGACCTTCGACTTTTTAATTCAATTTAAATTTGAAATTTAATTGATTTTTCTTAATTAAAATTCAGTTTGCGTGATCAAACAGTCCATGGATTGAAAGGTAAATATCAAACAGCCCAGAGGGAACAGAAATGTTTTATTGCGAGTTTTTTTTAAATACATTTCAAGTAATTTTATGACTTTTCGTTCTTAGGGGATTCCTTATAAATTAAATGCTCATCTACCGAGGTAAGTTTCCCAGAGGATTTAAACCAACTCGGATCTACAAAACTCGTTCGCTTCAGGTGTCTTCCTTCCCACATCATAAGCTCGCATCCTGCTTTTTTATTGTTAAACTTTTTCTTTCGTTAATATAATACATTGAAATCTGTGAGGACGCTTCTGCAATTCATGTATCTAATAATTGCACAAGTTTCAGTTTTCGCAACAAGTGCTGCAAATAAGAAGAGAGAATGCAATTTTTAATCGAATTTCAAACTTTTCCATTCATCGCATGGTTAAATGTTTGTGTTACGATCAAAAACTGTTCTCGCTTCCTGAACTCTACTAGCCTACGTTTGAGGTAGGGGAAGTCAAGAAGCCACACATTTTACGTTCTTCAAATCTTTGCCGAAAGATTCACTCACAAGTATGTCAACAAGGCGCGTCCAGATTAACCGAGGATTGAAGAAAACTAACGGGTATAAGAACAAATGCAAATATCGAATAGTTGCCACGTCCAGCATCATATGGCACCGGAACCGATGATTTTTTGTAGAGATTGTTCCTGAATTTCCTTAATGCTGTTTTATTTACTTTGATTTTTTTTTGGCTTTAATTGTAAATAGACTGTCTAGTGTCAGGGTATTTATTTCTCTTGTCTTTAATGTACGTTTGAAAAGGCACCATTTCATTTCTTAGGTAAAAGGAGTTTTAGTCTCGATTCCGACTCTGATGAGCAAAATTAGACTGATTTTACCGAATCTGATTTGGTTTGTAAGAGAAGGAGTGTAATCAAGTAAAATTTACACACTGGATTATTACTAAGTCTGAATATAACGAGTATCCTTAACACTCTGAGAGCTCTTCCACTTGTTGGGTTTTTCCTTTTTTTTCAACTTGGCAGAGTTAGTAACACCGCAATGTAAGAGATGATCACACCTACAAGCTGTTAAAATTAAGAAAAAAGAAAAAAGAGAAAAGAAAAAAGAAAAAAAAAAGGAAAGAAAAAAGAAAAAGGGAAGGTAAAAAGAATTAGTTCATGGATTTAAACATTTCTCTCAAATGAATCATTCCGAAGGGCGAAAGTATCATGATATGAGAATCCTGATCTTGTTATAAGAGCAGTTTCTCGGTTCTTTTAATCGTTGTTTTCTTCTACATTCGTTCCATACAGTATTATTATTACAACTTGTTTCTTTCCTTGTCTTA